AGGGTATCTTATTATCAATATTGTAGAATACAAAATTCTTCTACAAATTTTGTTTAAAAATTTTTTTCATACGGTGAACCGTTTTCGAGATAGAGGGCTTAGAGCGCGCGCGGTCACATCTCTCTCTTTAATACCAATAGCAAAAAACCCATAGGAAATGAGATATTTACAAAAAAAGCGCAAAAAACCGATTTTTGTGACCTTTGACCTTGAAATTTAATAGTTGCGTACACCCTACCATATGTAGGTTTTGAGACAACTTTTAGGGTGTCAATATACAAGTATTTACAGACTTACAGCTGGGTATCTGAATTCCGAGATTCTTACCTAATTTAAGCTTAAATGACTGGACTAGTACCCATTCAACCAAAAGTGAGCTCCAACGCTGAACAAAATTTCCTTACGACGAGTGGCGGGATTCGACCCATTTTTTTGGTAATAATTTTTCACGATTTGCAAATGTTGATTCGGAGAAGTTTCCTGATGTACGATACAATTTTTAGGTGTATTCATTGCTTACTTTGACTGTAGCAGCTGCCAAGGTTAAACGGGGTTTTATGAGCTTTGGCGATTTGCGTCTTTTTAAAAGCTCACACTTCGTTTCTTGTTCGTGAATTCTTGGACAAAAGCAATACTGTAACGATGCCGTAGCCTTCACATTCGCCAGACATTTTCCATGTGACTTGTTTCTATTTGCAAGAATAAAGAGAACCTTAAAGTTCGGTAGTTTTACAAGACAGATAAAAAGCGCTGAAAGAGCTACAGGCTATCTCAAAAATCGAGCTTGAGAAGAATGGGAACCATTTTGCAGGCGACAACATTAATGTAGACAAATGAATACTTTTTTTTTTCAAAAAACAAAAATTCCTCTTATTTTTTGAACACACCCGTTATAGTCACTGAGGTCTATATTTTCGGTATCTGGGGATTTCAAAAGTTATGGTTTGATTTTAAATATTTTTGAACGTCTGATGGCAGTTTAGATACACCAATTATGCAAGGTTTTATTCTAATAACCTCATTGGTTCTCGCTTTATATACCGTACAGTGAAAGAATTGTATGGAATTTAAACTATTACATATGGAAAGCAGAAATATGGGGAAAACAAGGGTGGTAGTCCAATTCGTCGTCAATTTTCACACTGTAGCATAAGAATGGCGGGAAATGGGAATGGCTTTGTAAGATAGTGCCTGAGATATGTGCTTATACCTAAAGGTGGGCGGTGTCATGCCCACAAAGTTTGTAACACTCAGATGGAAACTTTGGATACCCTATAAAAATATATATAAATTATCAGCATAACGAGCTAAGTCGATTTAGCCATGACTTTATCGAACATATCCTTCAGTTTTAGAGATATCGATCTGAAATTTTGCACTCGTCCTTTTCTCCCCCATTTGTCGAAGCCACTACAGCATATAGCTGCCATTCATACTGAACGATCGGGATCAGAAGCTGGTACGGAAAATTCTTCATTTGACGAGATATCTTCACGAAATTAGGCACAGGCTATTGCCTAAGGCAATAGTACAATCTTTGAAGAAACTGTTCAGATCAAAATCAAGTTCTTGTAAGGAATATTTTGTATTTGTAAAGGGTATTATAACTTCAATGCAACTGACGTTAACATTCTTTCTTTATTTTTTTAATTTATTTTGAAACCACGAGTGCCTTTCACTTCTTAGATTTGATGGTCCGATCACGACATTATATAATTTAAACCTCCGCATAGTGTTAGGAAATATGTGTACGAAGTTTCATCTATATATCGCAATTGCTCAAGTACGCAAGCTATACTCCGGGATTTCAACACGACTCGTCATTTGAATTATTTACTCGTATGTATAGTATGGTATATGTAACACTATATCTATGGCATCTCGATTAGTTTTAAGTGACACAAACAACCTTTGGGTAAACAAAACTATTAAACTATGTAGCAACATGTTGCGGGAGAGAATTTGCTGATGCGTTTGAGCTGTTTTCGCTACCAATACAAACTAAACATACAAAAACCCAAAAATTAACGAATTAATGAGTCTATTTTAGTATTTCTATCGCTTCATCACATATTTTTCGATTAAACCCAAATGTTTACCTAGATGTTATTATGTTGTTATTATTTGCACGAAATTCTGATAATAGAAATATATACATATGTGATTTCTAGTCAATAGCTAAAAACTATTAGATAAAAAGTTAATAAAAACTATTTTCATGGAAAGTGAGCACAGTCTTCAGCGAGGATGCGTTATTTAACACGAATTATAATTTTTGCTGCCCTTCTTGTGAGCGTGAGTAGAAAAAAAAAGTTAAATGCTTTGGAATCCATAGATATGTTTATTTCTATATAATATTTACAGGTCTCACCAGAAGTTCGTTTCAAAAAAATAATATGCAATAGCACCGATCCACTCACGGCCTATGAAAAATGCCACATTTCAAATTTAAATAATTCTATAACAGCAGTAACATTGCACCTAAAACTCCGACAGCCTATATACAGTGCATATGTAAGTATATATTAGTAACGTGATATATGTGGTATCTCGAAATATAGAATGTATGAAAATATATAACGAGTTGCATACAAATATGGTCTTCATATACAGGTTAATATCACGATTATACAGCTCTCGAACAACCTCAATCGTGTGTGGTACAAAATCACCAATCTTGATGCCTGCAATTTCTTGGTAAAACGGCGTAATCCAGCGCTGAGATTACTTTTTTCAACTTTCCAAAAGTCTACTAATATCAATCACACCTGTCCTTATAAAGTAAGTGTCCCTATTGATGAAATTTTTAGAAACTATATTTATTGAAATTAATCATAGGATTACCTAATACTTAATGAGTTAGCTATCAATAATCCTAACCTAGCTCTCATACCTTTTATATCTGGGGAATACGAGCTACAAACAGAATGGCGATTGAATGGCAAAAATGCGGCGCAAGTCACTGTATTTATTCGTTACAATCGTAATACTTCAAAATAATCAAATTACTTTGAAGAGAACGAAAAGTGTATTATTTTCTTCGAGTTATTTAGTAATATCGTATATAGGATATATTAAAATCAGTCGTAATAAAAAATTGTGTATATTTACAGTTCATTAGAAAATAAAGTGTGTTAAAGGCTCTTATTTCTAGTTGTCTGTCTAAATTAATTCGAAAGAGAATAGCTCATAGCAGAGGTGTTCAACCTTAGTCTCGTCATGGATTGTTTTCAAAAATTTGATTTGCAGACAAAATCGTCCCAGATAGAAAGTTATAGAAATATACCAGACAAAAAAAATTATTTGTATACTTATATTTACATAGAGGTATATTAAACTGCAACAGTATCTCGTCAATTCAATGAAAGTCAATAAAAAAAGATGCTCGGTTTGTTGGTTCAGTTGTTCTAGAGAAATTTTTTACAATTTTTATTTGGCATTTTCTTTTGTTAAGTTTACATTTCTTAGATTTCCAAAGTTTTCAGTGTTCGCTCCCGAATTCTTCTTCCTCACACTTCACTGAGCAAACAATTATCGGGTTCTATAGGGTTATTCAAGGACCATGCAAGTACTCAAAGGATGTTTTTTAGACATATGGTTTTCAAGACGAAATAAAATGCTTATAACCTAATGTTATGGTCGAGAATTTATATGCGGCTTGCTCAACAAGCGACTTCACATAACCCCGCAATTAATAGTCTAGCGGTATCAAATTGAACGATCTTGGAGGTCCACGACTGAAGGTAGTGCGTTCCCCAAAAGTTTCTTCAATAAATTGTTTGTTTCGTACACATTGACATCCCCCAATTCAAGTACGAAAAGTCATTAATTATAATCATGGCTCTATAGTGTTCCCCATTGACTATAAGATTATGGTCGGCTTCATTTTTGAAGGTTTATGAAACAATGATTCGCTCTGCCAATAGAGCATACCAAACATTGACTTTTTGAGGATGTAACAGCGTCTCAACCATAGCTTACGGGTTTTCATTACTCTAAATGCGCCAGTTTTGTTTAATAACGTACCAAAAGTGAACTTCAACTCTGAACAAAATTTCCTTGTGAAAATTGAGATCGGAGGCCATCTCGTTTTCGGGATTCACTAAACGTGCGTCCCGCTTGATGGTCGTTTGGTTTTAACTCTTGCACGAGTTGGATTTTATATGCCCGCAAATCAAGATCCTTTTGCATAAAATGGATGAGTACGACTCCAATTGGGTGTGATGGCGGATGGACTCATTCGAGTCTTCTTCGATACTCTGCTCTACAGTAGCAATAGCGTGTTTGGTGCGCACTGTACGGCATCTCTGAGGATGCGCATTATTTACTAGAGTAAACGTGGTGGAACCGATTCATGATTTCTAGAATTACCGACTCTGCTGGCCAGATATATCCGCAGAATATGGAGGGTAACGCGCGATGCGTCACGCGAACCGAACTATTTTTTTGCTAATAAATTTGCCGATATACACATGCTATTCCGGAGTAATTTAGTTGATTATGGAATGACAAACCAAATTGAATATAAATCAATTAACTGATTGCCTCATTGAAAAAACACATTATAATATTTATCTCATTTTTCCAAGAAACACAGGAGTTAGTTCTATCTCTCAAAAATTTATTCTCACCGTGTAGTTGAGGTAAATATCCGAGTTCGCTGTCTGTAAAGTTAGTAACTATCACTTCACGTATAGAACTCATTGCGTGATAAAGGTTCTTGATTAGTTCCATACTTGTATAATGGGTTATTATCCTAATCAGGTAACTCTATAGAGTTGGACATATTACCATGCGCTTTTATAGGTCCATTTAGATATTGATGTTATATTACATATTCATCTAATGAGACTCGGATTGGAACAACTTGGATGTCATACCATTAGTAATACAGCTGAACTAGCCGGAATCGAAGTTACTCACTGAAGTAGGTTTGGGTTTTTATATAATGTTATCTTTTTTAAGTAGATATATAAGTATAGACACGCAGTTCAAAGCAAACTAGAAATTACGCTGAATAATCCGATGAAACGTAATAAAATTTAAATACTTGATTAATATTTGTATAGCGTGAGCTCAATATTTTCAATATAATGCAACTAAATGCGCTTGTAAAATTAAAAATTAAACAAATAAATGTCAATAATTTCGGAAGTTTCGGAAAAATTAAAATTATTTTAACTGAAATGCACCGTTGTTTAAACTTTGTTAATATTTTGCATCTGCAACGTTATAATGAATTATCTGGAATTGCTGCTGCTTTTGAGTATTCTTCCTGAGAACGTAAGTTTTAATTATAAAATATATATCATAAGTAGAAAATTGCGTATAAAATTTTGCTTCCAATAGGTGCACTCGAAAGTGACTTTAGCCAAAATCGTTTGCACCAGCAAATACCCAATGGTGATCTACGAAAAGTGCCTCGTCGATAAAGTCAATAAACCACTGAGTACCATAACATTACAACAGAGATTATTGCTACCACTTAAGAGTGTATATGTAAGTACAAAAAACACAATGGAAAATAGTACATAATATGTATTGGTATTTTGTACTTTATATGACAAAATTATCAGGATGACAAGACGAGTTGAGTTTCGCTTGTCTCTCTCTCCCTTTATTGTTTGACTTTTTACCGAAAGTATCGATCAATCTTTAAAATATTTTAATCAAATTTGGAGTGTATATTTTTCTGAAAATAATTTATGTTTGTGTCTAAATTCGGATATACCTTATATAAGAATTTTCAAACTTCAGGTCAATATTTCCCCTAGCCATTATATACCTAATATAAGAGTTTATAGTGGCCGATTTCCTTTATCCCTATAAATCGGTCAATATGTAAAACATATTAAGAAAAGTAAATATCACAAATTTGTTGAGACGGCTAATGTCTGTTCAATGTTTGGCCCCTAGTTTGCTGAAGAACTGCCGAAATGTTTCAACATCAGTCTTGCAATGGCTGGACAAAGGAGGAGAAAGTGCCTGAATGTTTCCATTTCACTCTCCCCTTTATAATTTTGACAACTTGGGTCCGACAAGATTTTTATCCTGAATGAATGCCTTTTGAACAATGTCAAGTAAGAACTTCTACGATTTCGGCAAGATGAACTTTACTAAATTCAGGAAGTTCAGCACATTTCCTGCATTCTACTCTAGATCAAAAGGCCAAATGAATTAGATTCATTGATTTTGTTTGCCAAGTAATGAAGAAATTATAAAGCTTTCCAGACTGGTACTTCGTTACTCGGTAGAACGAAAATCTGTTAATTTATGAAAACAAATAGCACGTAAAAAAACTACCAAATAACGACTTACGAAGCTGGTGTGAATACCCCTATTATAAATATCTCGGACTCAAATTAAGAAGTAAATAAAATTATTAAGTTATGATCTTAGTATAAGCTAATATGATTTTGATCCATTCAGGGATTCGTCGAGTAATGCATGTTGATTTCGTTTCTAATAAATTTTAATATAAAATTTTGTCTTTATTACTATTGTTTTGTTTGAAAATTTCTCCATAGTACAATTTTCGAAAGGTCTCAATCGTGTGCTTTATACCTTCAACAACGTAGACGTTGGCAATTTCTTAGTTAAGCGCCGTAATTCCGTTATAAGACTATTGTTCGAATATATGAAAAAGTTTATCAATGTGAATCACAGCTGTCCATTCCAAGTGAGTATTTATGCAAAATTTGGATTTGAATTGTTATTGTCTAGTAGGTAATAAATCTTTCCAATAATCTTATAATATTTATTGTTTTTTCTTAGGACTACATTTTGCTGCGAAATTTTGTTGTTCACAATGCGGATTTAGCGCGTGTCCCAGTACTAAAGGGGGAGTACGGAGTAATGTCGTCTGTAAAAACAAAATTTTAAAATTGAAAAATTAATTCAACAATGAACGATTTCTTCAACCTATTGGACTATTCTCGAGGATCTCAATAAGTGGTTTGGTTTTTGGTTCTTGGAGAAAGTTTATTCAGACGCTCTGATCTTCAGTCATCATTTATAGGAAACAACGTTCTTATGCTGAGTATTCTTTTTCAGGCAGCTTCGAACTTTCCCTTAGTAAAGCTAAATTAAAAGTGGTTATAGTTATAACTTCGCAATATCTTCAGAAAGAACTTTACAGAGTGCCATCCTACCTGAGAGCAGATAGCATTTAGCCCAATGACATTAAGATAAGTATTTAGGTGGATATTTATGTTGACTGGTTACAATGAAACTTGTGCTTAATATATAATAATGATAATAAGTGAACACATTGCAACCTATGTTCTTTAATCGCGCAGAAAATTAGAGCGGAAAAGCTCTGAGCGATCGCAAAGAAGGCTTCATTCAGACTTCATCTGGATTTCTCTTTAATTAGATAAAGTGAGGACAATGATGTCGAGCTCTTTTAAACATGATTCTTAATACCTTTAACAAATTATATACTTTTAGAACACTTAAGTAGTCGCATTACATTTTTTTATATTATATTATAGGTAGAAAAACAATTTTAAAATAATCAATACTCAAAAATGTTTTTAACTTTAATTCACTCTACAAGTAGTTTTAGAGCCATAATGTTTTCTTAACCTCGTCATTCGTAGTTTATAAAATAACACTCCATAACGAATCTGTTGCGCACAGTCAGCTAACTCGATGCCAGTTTTACAGTTTTGCTATCAGAGTGAATACTCATATCCGGAGCAGAAGATCTACTTCTACCTTGAAGACAGCCACGTTCTTATGAAAGTGCTGTGTAAGCATAAAACTCGCTTCAAATCACTCCCCAAGTGCTTCCATATATATGAGCACAAAGAAGAGACCGCCAGCATAACTTTTTATAGCAACCTTCACAGCAATGAACCCACCGACCATGTCTTCGGGTACCTATGTTAACCCCATAAAATATTAGGTACATTACTATGATTCTATAGAACCAATTATCTAGAGAGGCATCACCTTTTCTTAATAGCTTCTTTAAAACAGAATAAAGTAAAAGTCTTCTTTACTTTCAGCGTATGATTTGGCCTCCATGAAAGTTTTTTAATTAGAAAAAGCAGCAGGTAGATACTTCGTTAGCAGGATGAAGGTAAATATCTACTCAACGCCATCAATCCCGTTCGTCAACAAATCATTATTGTTACAAATTATATTACCACTTATAATACTTATAAACTTATCTTCAGCTCCAACTTCGGTAAAAAAATGAAATATCGTGATAATTAATGAATCTTACTCTTTTCTAAGACAAATCATTTATTTCGTTGAATCTAAATATGTTATACAAATGTAAGTATTTATAAATCCATACACAAAGCTTCCATATGAAAGCTCTTCTCTTCTTTATCGCCAAAAATTTACAAATCGCTTAGTGGGTAGGACAAATCATCGCACTACTTTTTTGTTTCATATTACAATTAGAAGTTTTGAAGCATGAAGCAAACACGCGTCACGAATCATCACTCATATTTAACTGTCTTCAACATTATTAATTTGTTTTTATTGTGCTGTTACGCGCAGATGTTGTAAGAATGAAAATATTACACAAGAAGTGTAAATCATATATCACATATGTGGGTATTATGTACTTATATGAATACATACTTTTCTGCTGAGTAAGAACAATGTAAAACACATACATACATATATACTTAAGGTTTTGGGATTAATTTGTGCTTCCGGAAGAAAGCAAATATATGCTATACGTCTATAAATGAACCTAGAAGGGTAGTAGAAATATTAAGAAATTCTGTACTATATTTTTAACTACTTTTCTTTATTTAGGAATTAATCACTTTGTCATTGTAAAATGGAACATATGCTCCGACAGTGAAAATGCTTAATGACATCTTAGTAGAATAATAAATTAAACTCGTGGAGTAAATATATTTATTATTACTTCATAATAAAATCAAAATAAAACATTTCAAGATTTTTTTTGCATACTTCGGAAGTAGATTATTTAAGAATGTCGCATTCTACGTTCCAAGTGGTTAAAAGGAACAACTTCAAGTGATTGTAAAGGGTAACAAAAAATTAAAAGTACTAGAGGCGCAATATTGATCATTAAAGTGGTATATGTTAGATGAAATACAAATGCTAAACAAGCACTGAATTAATAATTAAATTAAAGGAACGTTGCTCAAAAACATTGAATATGGAATATATTGTTTACTCAAGCTAGAAACAAGACAAATAACAACACAAATTTGAAACAAAGAGCGTTATCAAACAAAATCAAGTCAATTGATAGACCAAGCTTCACGCTGCTCTCTTATGTGAAGGATAAGGATAAATTATATAAATAAATTGTTAACGTATGGAAGTGTTTTAGGGATTTGAAATAATTTGTTAAAAACTGTGGAATATAGTGCTTTAGGTATACAATTTCCACTGGAACCGCCTGCTGTTATGTAGGACATAGTATTTTGTTTACTTTCTAAAGAGTTATTCCTTATTTGGTAAATTCCAATTTCATAGCTTAATACAGCTCTAAAACAGAAGTCTCTCATAAATTCAAATGTGAATATGTATTATTAATGACGGTCTTATGGTATAACCTCTATGAATTTTATTGTCATATCACCTTACCTACATTCCAAAAAAAAAAAGAGGGGAACTACAAATAATATGTTCACTCAATGAGAGTTCTTATACTGCGGACACATATTGCCATGTTAATTCTAACTTCTATTGGATATATAAATGTTTTTTTCGAATTTTTGAAATTTATATATTTTGGTAATATATGCTTCTGATTTTGCCAACTGGTTCCACATTTTAACCGTAAAATTCTAAGCAATTATCACATCATTGGGCCTGTACAGCTTATCGTTCCAACTGCCATCGGGTCCATTTACTAACATTTCATTGAATATGATAATACCAAAAAAATACTAGAGTTTATTTTTGAAGACAACATTTCTTGTAACAAATGTAAAAAATAGTTTTACAAGTTCTCAAACATTGTTTTGGCGCTTGAATCGTAGAGAACCTTTATTTTCTAAATGTTGATTTTATATAAATATAACAAACAATCGTATATTTTTTACTTTAAGTGATTCCTTGCTAGATATAGAGACTCTAGCTGGTTCCTGCTCAACTGATTCTGATGGGACAATTCTAAAAATTTCAGCAGAACACAGTTATCTGGAAGGTGACCAGGTCTAAACACTTTCTCTTGACTGTCTAACCTTTGCAAGATTAATACTCAAGATATCTTTTAGTCAATAGTAACTTTTCTAAGTTCAAAATTAGCAAATTCGTCTTCAGAATTTTGGAATCACAAGGACTTGGTTGAAATTGTTGAAATGTGATCTCACGATCCAGGAGCATAAAATAACTACATATATTAATAATAGAGAGGAACTATAAATTTCAGTCGCGTATTGAAGAGAATATCTTATAGCAGAGATCCTTACCTTAGTCTCTTCATGGTTTTCAGTTTCTCGACAGTTTGATGTGCCGACGAAATCTCCCAGGAAAAATGATTATATACTTTTACATTGTCAATTTAATGAAAGTCGTTAAAAAGTTTTCTTTGCTATCATGTTTTATTATAAAGTAAGTAATAGTAGAAATAAGTTTAAAATACAATTTCCAATATTTCTTAAATTTTTCTTCTTTACACGCCTTTAAAGTTATTAAAGGATTTTGGAGGGGCGTTAATGCGCTCACCAAAAGTTTCCTTTAATAAATTGATTGTTTCGTTGGCTGTTTGGCATGTAGTGCCGTCTTGTTAGAACCAAAGGTCGTCCACATCAACATCCTCCAATTGAGATACGAAAAAGTCATTAATCATGACCCTTTAGCGTTGCCAATTGCCTGTAACATAATGGCCGGCTTGATTGTCTCATTGAAAATCACACATCTAAAATAAATAAAACACCCGTAGCAATCGATTGATCATTACACAGTTAAAGTGTTCGATTAGAAAGGTGTAACAATTTGATAATTTGTCGCGGGAATTTCTCAACAGAGAGAGAATGATTAGAAGTTTCATTGGTTTTTTTTTTAAGTTTACTATAGGATAGATGATTGACAAGTGCTATCCAAGGTCACAGCCGAAATAAAGTACGTTTTTGCCTACTTCGAACCGGTTAATGTCGAATGTGCCTTCACGCAATGATGGTTAAAATCTGGTCCTATGCTGATCGCCGAAGTTGTCTAGAAGGAGAAGAGTAAGAATGTAACAATAACAATCTTCGAGTCGAAGTCAATCACCTAAACAGACTTATGAAGAATCCAATGTATTATGTCGACATGATATTTTAGGTCTATCTTCAGAAGCTGGAAACATTTGTGTCAAATTATCTAAATGTAATTTTTGTATGGGAGGTCAGTCTTAAAAGGCTAACATAAAATAAATATGGAGGTATTGGATAATGGTTTTCTATATATGTATAACTAGTATTCCAGGTAAGAGGGTATATGTATATGCAATTCAAAGCAAATTAGATAATTACGCCAAATGATCAGATAAAATATAATTACATTTAAATACTTACAGGAAAATAAACTCAATACTTTCAATATCAAGTCATTATATACGGCCGTAAAATTAAAAAATGCACATTGTTCAATCTTTATTAATAATTTGCATCCTCGGCGTTACAATGCATTATCTGGAATTGCTGCTGCTGTTTTGTATTATTCCTGTGAACGTACGATTAAATTTATAAAAATATATCTTAAGTAGAAAATTGTGTATAGAACTTTGCTTCCAATAGGTACACTCGAAAGTTACTTTGACCAAAATCGTTTGCACCAGCAAATACCCAATGGTGATCTACGAAAAGTGTCTCATCGAGAGAGGCAATAAATCGCTCAATACCATAACATTACAGCAGAAATTACTACAACCACTTAGGAGTGTATATGTAAGCGCTTGGAAATCGCAATTGAAAATATATTTCTATATTTCTATGATTTTTGATTTTGAAATTTTCCGCTAAATCTCTCCATAGTACAGCTTTCGAAGAGTCTCAATCGGGTGCTTTATACCTTCGACAATGTAGACGTTTGCAATTTCCTAGTTAAACGCAGAAATCCCGTTATAAGACTATTGTTCGAATATATGAAACAATTTAGCAATGTGAATCACAGCTGTCCATTCCAAGTGAGTATTAACATAATGGTTCTCAAGATATGTTAGCTAAGCTTCATATCAATTAATGGATTTGAACTCATATTTCCTGATGTGTGTGAGTAAATCTTTCTCATAACCTTATAACCTTTATCGTTTTTTTATAGGACTACATTTTGCTGCGAAATTTAGTTATTAAAAATACAGATCTAAGTCCGCGTGCCAATACCAAAGGGGGAGTACAGCGTAATGACTTCTTGGAAACTAAACAGTATTGGTGTGGTGGAGGTAAATGGTTTTGGAGTTTATGAGTAGATAACCTGGAATCAAAATACTAAGATCTGTAAAAATTATTCAAGATCTTAAATCTATACTCATGATTTTTAAATATTTGAGTTATATTATTTTTTTCGTTAAATTACTTTTACTTTACTCAAGTCTATTATAATTTGATATTTTCGAAATATAACTGAAAACCCGTGAATTTTCAATACATTTTATAAACTGAAATATTGTTTGGGTATTATGTAATATATTTATTAGACACTAAGGTTATTTTGTTAAATATAAGCCTCAAAATATAAGTAAATCTTCGAGTTGAAAAACTGCTAAGATGGCCTTCCAAAAGTTCTCTAGAAACCACGTACTTCATAAATTGGAGATTATATCAAGGGTATTCTCTTATCTGCGCTGTGGTGAGCTGGTTACTATACCATAAAATCACGTATACATAATAATAATAACTCTGTTTCTGCCAAGTTTTCTTCAGCATACGATTGAAAGGCTTTTTTTACAGGATCTAATCAGTTCAGCAGGCAAATCAATTCACATTTCTCTTGCCTGTGTTCCGTGTCACATAGAGCCCGAACTGTAGATGAATGTTGCCTACTTTTAATCGTCAAGAAAGAACGAATCATTGAAAGGCGAAATGAAATGTAGTTCCAGCCCAAATTGTATGGTTAATTACAAAATGTATTCAGGCTCATAGCCACTGTATTTTTCTAACGCTGATCGGTTTAGCTCAACCAAAAATATATATGTATTTACATAAAAAGAAATACCTTACTCAGAACTCACATCCTTTTATAAAGTTATTAGGCGCATAAATAGTTTCCAATAAAAAAAACGTATTTTAGGTAAAAACAAGGAAAACGTTAACTCCGGTTGCACCGAAGCTATAATACCTTTCACAAATACAAAAGTTCCTTACAAGAACTAGATTCCGATCTAATTTCGTGAAGATACCTTGTCAAATAAAAAAGTTTTCCATGCAAACACTTTATTCCGATCGTTAAGTTAAAATAGCTGCTATATGCTATGAGATGAGATTGCATTGTTGCCATAGACAATTATCCATGCCCAATTTTGTGAAGGTATTACGTCAAATAAAAAAGTTTCCCATACAAGCACTTGATTGTTCAGTTTGTATGACTACTACATGCTATAGTGGTCCGATATCGTTCCGACAAATAAGCAGCTTTTTAGTGAGAAAAAGACAGGTGCAAAATTTCAGATCGATATCTCAAAAACTAAGGGACTAGTTTTCTTATATACAGAGAGTCAGCGGACATGGCTAAATCAACTCAGCTCAGCAAGCTGATCATTTACGTATATATAATATTTGATAGGGTCTCCGACGTTTTCTTCTGAGTGTTACAAACTTCGTGAAAAACTTAATATTCCCTGTTCAGGGTATAAAAAGATATAGAACATATATATGATGTCAATGTATTATTATGATTAAATTAATCAAACACATAAATCCTCTTATTTCAATTTATATTTATTCATTGCCTGTCTGTTCTCTTAAGCTTTATATTAATAAAAAGTCCAACATATTAAATATTTTGCTTATACTAAATGTATAAAAATCCAAAATACAATTAGCAATATAAAAGTAAAAAGCTCTCTGCGCCCCTCATCCATGCCTTTCGCGTCTATTAGCGCAGGGAAGAAGCTTCTAAAGCGGAGTCGGCTTCGCAGTGGTATAGAATATAGGAATAAGTTCAACGGTATGATGGATTTTATGGTGTTCATAACTAAAATCTTCCAAATATCCAGGTTATCCGAGTCTTGTAACACCCTTCGCAGCAATGAACCTACTGGCTGTCTATGGGTGCTCTATGTAAAAAGGTAATGACTGCCATTGTCGGTATTGCCTACCACAACTGCTGTTGACAGCAACTTATTGGATCATGTTCTAGCCGCTTACTCCATAAAATATTATAGACCTTACTAAGATTTCTTAGAAAAATAGGCTAAAGGACCAACGGCTCCACTATAACAGAAAAAAGCAATAGACTTCTTCATTTTCACTTCGTGACTTGGTCCACATGAAAGCTTCTTATCTTGAATGAGCTTCTGGTCCTTCATCCTGTCTGCAATCTGAGGGTAAATATCTGCTAAACGTCATCACCCCAGTTCGTAATCGGTACATTATTGCTACAAGGTATTTTAGTACTTTTAATATATAACCGTCTAAATTGCAGCTGTGAATGACATTTGGTGTCATCACTTTCTTGAACATATGCAGCCACAAGCTCTTCAGCTTCAACTTCAGTAAAATAATGTAATATCGTGATAAATAGTACGTTTTGCTTTCTTCTAAGCCAAATCATTTATTTCGTTGATTATACGGATCGTGCATATGTTAGTACTAATAAACACATATAAGTGTTTCTAAAAACATACGCAAAGCATTGATACGAAAGCTCTTCTCTTCTTTATCGCCAACAATTCACAAATCGCTTACGTGGTTGGGACAAATCAACACTGTAGTTTTATACTCTTGCAACATGTTGCTACAGAGTATAATAGTTTTGTTCACCTAACGGTTGTTTGTATCAGCTAAAATTAATTGAGTTAGATATAGAGTTATATATATTTATATATAAATGATCAGGATGACGAGACTGCAAGCAAATTTAAGATATCATAATGAAACGTGTTCTTTGGCAAAAAGGAGAGAATGAGTTCGTAGATGGGCATAATCGGACCACTGACACGAATACAAAAAGTTATTAAGCGAAAACTTATAAAGTGTCATAATTAGCCACTTAATTAAGATATATAATAATAATTTGGCGTGGCCTCTAAGAGGTTTAGTGTTAATGTCTTCTGTATCACTTCAGATACAATAACCAAATTCACTGCCGACAATTCACTTACTAAGTACTCTTAACCTACACTGTAAAAATGGATTACATCGAATAATAATCCCGGGCATTCCGCATAAAACGGTTCTTATAAAAACTATTAAAAGCGCGATAAATCAATAAACAATTACGCCAGAGACATTAAATTTTACACCCGAGATGAAAAAAGAGGGCTTTATAAAAGCCGGGAAATAATATGATGGGCGTGGCGCCGCCCACATGTAGGTGAAAACCCATATCTCTAGACCAAATTTAGTATATAGTATTTCTTTGATATTCATATGTTTAAGTGTGGCGAAATCGGACTACAACCACCCCCACCTTCCATTTAACCCAATTTGAATGTCCATCTTACTCTTTCACTTTCTAGCAAACAAAGCAAGAAGTATTCAATATATCTGGATTAGACTTTGCACAAATAGTGCCTTTAAAATGTCCCACTGTATGACCCAAAATTGTGAGAACTTGTTTACAACTGTTCAAGCCCCCAGCGACCGAAGATGTGGACCGTAGTTCCTATTGCAAACTTTTTATGGAAACTGTTGGTCAATCCATGATATACATTATTGAAATTCGGAAAAGGTCTTTTCCTGAAAATATTATGTTTGTATGTCAAAAATGAATTGAAGGGGATCAAAATTTCCTTTAGCGCACATATACCTAATATAAAGGTGCGGTACCTTAATGAAACTGAGAGAGCATCTTCTTGTATTAATAATATGTCGTAAAGTCAAAAACAGATAAAATCAGGTCAATATAACCCCTATCTACCATATTTGTAATACGTACCGCAAGTTGCAGGAGTATAAAATGTTAGGTTACACCCGAACTTAGTCCTTCCTTATTTGGTTTTATATTACAATTAGAATTTTTGAAGCATGAAGCACACACGCGTCACGAATCATCACTCTTATTTAACTGTCTTCAACATTATTCATTAGTTGTTATTGTGCTGTTACGTGCAGATGTTGTAAGAATGAAAATATTTCACTAGAAGTATAAATCATGTTTCAGATATGTATGTACAAGTATATACTTATGTAAGCACTTGTGCTTTCCTCCTGAGTGAGAACAATATGAAATAAGTACTTAAGAATTAGGAGTGAATTTTTACTTCCGTAAGAATGCAAGCATAAATGCACGTGTAGGAGCACAGGAAATAGAAGTATTAAGAATTTTGGACTACATTTTTGACAATTTTCAAAGTTGTGGAATTAATACCTTGTTGTTACATTTTGTGACGAACATATAAATTAATATCATCATAAATGAAATATGTCGAGAAATTCTTGTTAATACATCTTAACAAAACAAAAAATAAAGTTTTCCAGTAGAGGATTGTTATTTTCGAAGAAAACGGACTTTTGCGGTCGGGAAGGCGACACTCGCTAGCAGTTGGAACATGTTCAAAGAGCGACTCTCATTGGTATCTATGGTGCACTAAGGATAAAACCAACGTTGGCACAACGTTTTGACACCCGTAGATATAGCCGACAAGTTCATTGCTGCGATAGGTGCCGCGATGGGTGCTGTTACACTTTGGTAATTTTGATATTTGAATTGTCCTATATAGACAAGTTTTGGAATCTTTAGTAACTTCGTCACATCCCTATTGGTCTGAATGAAGCTAAAAGTAAGCTTTTTCGCAGATTGAGCGAAACTCAGTGGAAAGGTTGGAGGGGAAGTTTTTGTAGGGAACTCTCTATCAACCAAAAGTTTAGACTACCAGAGTACCTTAAAGCTTTTAGATCAGAGTTATTTGTCTTCAAGTCAACAGTGGGCGTACTTTACTTATGGTTAATCAAGAAGTATTTGACTTAATTGTTAATTGTATGAAGTTACTTCGTCATCCGACTTATTTGGTTGCTTAATTAAAGCGAAGTTGCTGAAAACTACATCGAAAGTCAACTTGCAAAAATGGGCAACTAACACCAATTTCATAAGACTGAGAACCAGTTGGTGCTTCGCCGTCTTCTTGCATGCTAGCTCTGCATCTATGGATCGTGTGAACTCAGTTAGCGTTGGTCAACTATCCGCACTTGTGCAGATACGAGTTTTTTATTTATGGTTTCATTGACGCAGATGATTGAAAAAGTAATCATTTGAAATGAGTTTTGAATATTGCGCATATGCGGTATTAAATAAATGTAACTTTAGTAT